ATTGAATCTAGACATGAATTTATAGAGTATTACCATCTTTAAAATATCTATGAAATATCAAATCTCCCAATCAATGAATACACAATGTCTTTCCATTTATTTAGGTCTCTTTTAGTTTATTTCCATGATGTTTTCTAGGTTTCAGTGTACAGGCCTTGCATTTTCTTTTGTTCAATTTATTCCTAAGTGTTTTTTCGATGCTATTATAAATGGAATTGTTTGGGTTTTTTTAATTTCATGTTTGGATTATTTATTGCTACAATAGAGAAATGTAATTGATTTTTGTCTATTGATCTTATTTCCTGTAATCTGCTGAATTCATTTATTAGCTCTAATAGTCTTTTTTTTATGGATTCCTTAGAATTTTCTACATAAAAATCATGTTGTTGGCAAATAGACATACTTTTATTTCTTCTTTTCCAATCTAGGTGCATTTTTTGTTGTTTTTCCTGACAAGAACCTCTAGTACAATATAAATAGAAGTGGTGAGAGCAGACATCCTTGTCGTGTTCCTGATCTTAAGGGGAAACTTTCAGTCTTTCAGTCTGTCACCATTAAGAACAATATTATGAACAAGTCTTTTGAACAAGTCTCTTCTTTTGAACAAGTCTTTTAATGGGCTGAGGTCTTCATTTCTCTTGAGTAAATACCTAGGCAAAAAATTCCTGAACCACAGAATAGGTATATGTTTAACAAAGAACTGTCAAATCGTTTTCCATAGCGCCTTTTGAACTCAACTATCTTTTAAATTTCTCTTGTTATGTGTTATCTATCATCTCAATGAGTTTTGAAAAACAGGAAGATCCCTAAACTGTGAACTTCTTGCTGCACCTTAATTGGAGAGCTTCCTAATGGTAGACTCAAAAGTCTGTGATCTTCAAGTTTTCAAAGGACAATTCTTTTATTTACGATTTAAATCCATTCCCTCCTCAGCTGACTCTTTGTCCTCCCAAATTGCTCCTCCATCATTTCCCCAAGAGGAGCTCAGCTAAACTACAAAATGTGCCACCTGAACCTACTGTTCACTTGATTTACATGTAACATATACATGGTAATGTCATTAAAATTAGGAGGAATCCCTCTAACCAAGGCAACCATAGAAAAGTGGTTGTAGAGTTCAGTCCTGATGCAGATCCTTTTCCTGCCTGTCTGGGCTCCAGTTACGGTTTTGGTTTATCTCGTGTGTAATCAAAGGAATGCAAATATTTTGCAGACTCCTACATACTATCTTGTAAACATCTCATACCGTAAACTCCACTACCCATCTCCCGGACTGAAGTCAGCATCCTCTTCAAAGCGCCACAGATCTCTATAGGCAGGTATCATACCAGGACGAGCATTCACCTTCTTACTTCACCTGTGAACTCTGATTTTTACAATTTTTCTCTATGGTTCATTAGTCAGCTTCCCATAATCACAAAGGCCACCCTCTTTTTTTTCCTAAAATGGCAATATCTATATTATTGGGGCAGATTATGAAAGTAATATATGTTTGTTCAAAGGAATAAAAAAGCCCGGAAATTATAAAGCATAATTCTTCCCTCTATAAAATGACTAACATCAATAATATCTCAGTAAAGCTGGGGAAATTTTTTTAATGGCTAACAGTTTGGGATTTGAATTTGAGGTTTATCCTTCCAGGTTTTTAAAATGTACTTGGACATTTCTGCACAGTAGTAGGTATATAGCTGGAAGTCATTCTTTGTAACAGCATAATATTCCATAGTATGAATAGACACTAATTAATTTTTATCATTAAATATTTCAAACATATAGAAAAGTACTGAGCATATGAAATAAGCATCCATGTGCCACTTAGTTATTAGAAAACAAGTTCAACTGCATGTAACTATTTTCCGCAGTTTGTCATTTGTCATTTTTCTTTTGGTGATGTGTTTGTCATGCATATTTTTATAGTCACAGAGTCTACTTTATTAATCTTTTCTTTTATGGCTTCTGAATTTTGAGAGAGGCCTTGCCCATGCCAAACTTATCAAGAAATTCTCCCCTTTCCTATTCAAACTTTCATTGTTTCAATTTTTATATTTGAATATTCTATCCACTTACAAGGTAAGCATGTATGGTGTGACATGTAAATCAAAGTTAATTTTTTTTCCCAGATAACAGTTCATTTGGCTCACTTCTTAAATAAATAATTCTTTGTATCCCTCCTTTGATTTAAGATGTGGTCTTTAATATACGCTAAATTCCCATGTATGTTTTAATTTAATACTAGATTTGCCATTCTATTCTACTCAACTTTCTGGTCCATTGCCATATTATTTTAATTAACTAATTAATTTAATATACATATTAA